TGTTTTCTGCGAACTTCTTCAGCTTCAGCTCATTCTGCCATCGATTTGGAGGTATTCTTACCAGCCATTACTCTCTTAAAATTTCTTGCAACGCGCCCTGTCCAGTTTCAGGTGAACGTAAATACAAATGCAATGACATCACTAATTGCCATTTCTGTTTCTAAACATTCATTCGTCATACTGACTTTTGAATACCTTGACGAATGACAGTGAGACATGGCTCGAAATGCCAGTAACTCTAATAATTACTGCAATCAAATATTTACAATATCCTGTTTGCCAGTCCTTTAAAGTAGGGGGTTCCAAAGATTCGGTTTCATAATAACGCGGCCCTCTATTCCGATTGACTCGATCTACAAGGGCCATGTTTTGGAATGGCGCGGTCTGGTACGCGGCAATCTCAGTTCCTTTCCGCCACTTATTCTTCCTCTTGCTCTCTCAAACCGTTCATAACAACTCAATCTCCTTCCTCTGAAACTTCGCCAAGCAAGATGAGCACACCTGAAAAAGCCAGTGACAACAGGTGTCATTTCGTATTTTATTTCTTTGCTTATAGGAACTCCATTTTCCTTATAATCTTAATTTAAGCTACTACATGCACTTATATTTATGTGCGATTGTTACGTAGATTATTTACCAATAATTCTAATGAGAAAATCTCGATTAACTTAAGCGCTGTACAACGTAAAGGATTTGATAGGGTAGCGAGCAGTCTTGTTTCTGGTTCAAACGTCAATCAATGAATGCTCCTCTATCACTGAAAAGCTAAAACGTATGTTCAAGCCTTAGGAACTTCTTCGACCCAACAGACCAGTCTAAAATAGAAAGACAGAAGCAAAGCTTTATATATTCTAACAAAAGTATATAGGAAAACACCTATATATAGTTGTTTTTCCTACGTAAAATCCCATGTTTAGCGCTGTTCTAAACCAGAAAGGTCTATAAGACATCGAGATAAGACTTCACGTGGTTTATCTTGTTAATTTATCATATGTTGATTACCTTAGCTTCAATAGAAATGCAGCATATCAGCAGCCTAAACTCGTTCCTCGATCGCTGCCATCTTTATTGAATAATGTTAAGCACCAAGAAAAAGCATCACCTGGTGGTAGGGTAGAAGACAAGATGAATGAAAAGATTTTATTCCGCTTCTTCATTCTAACTTTAACAGCGGCCCGCTGAATGAACTTCGTCGACGTTAATGAAAATGAAAGAAGTCCTATATCATTTCCGATTGTAACATATCACAAGTCTGGCTAAGCTTTGTCAGCTATAGAACACAACGAAAACAACATTCCCTGATCCCTTGTCACGTATTAAATCACCACGCCATTCAATACAAAACTGGTATCTTTTTTTCGCCAGGATTTTTTTCTGTTCCATGTTATGATCAGCCTTTGGAGCGCACTGCTTAAGGAAGCCTAGGATCATTTCACACGGCGAGTCAGCTGCCTTTTCGCAGAATGATCCAGAATCCGCAAGATTCAACATTTACACTGATAAGAATGCAGCAATAGCCTTAATGCTAATCTGTTTGTCTTCTACTGTACAAGATACACGGGCTGATGGGTACCAATTAATAATTTGATGAAAACCTTCTATAAAAATGGAGAATAGTGAGTAGCGTATCATGTGACAAGAAAGTGTCCCTCAAAACAAAGAACGTCAAAAACCAAAACAAATCCATTTCTGTTATACAGAGCTTAATACTTAGCCGCTCTGAAGAATCATGAAGTTCATGTACTCTGCAGAATTCCGAATGCTTGGATGATTCTGCTGCCCAACGTTTCACTGCATACAACAGTATCGGCATCTCAGCTGTTCTACCAGCCTTCACATTTAACTTAATAGCTGTTTTCATTGTAATAGCTAACAGACCTTCAAGAGCAAAATAGCATGCAAATGTCACGTCCAACCGCTAGGAATTATCTAAGATTAATTTAATGCAACGTTCACTGTGGCAAGTCTAACAGAAGTTTCCCGTGTTTGTGGTCCAGGTTCTCATGAAAAGTCATTTAGACCTATTTCAATTATTCTCAGGGTATCGTTTTCGTTTCTGGGCCGTTCTCTGAATTCTCTTAGTTTCCTCGGATTACGGGTCGCCAGCGTTTCGACGTCGCCCAGAAGAGTCATCGTACCTTTAGAATACTTAAGGCAACGTTCATCATTTCTCAGGACAGCTTATGTTTCCAGACTGCACTCACCATCCTTTCTGGCGTGTGGCACGATGCATAAACAGTTAGCCTCGAACTGCGCAGGCGCCGGGTTTGATTCCGGGGAACGGCAACTTTCGCCTTAACCCATTCGTTTCTTGAACAAGGAATTTACCGCATTAAACCGGGATTGTTCAGTCGGTAGTCAGCAGGACTGAGAAAAGAGAGATCACGGGTTTGATCCCAGGTATGGTCACTCGCGTTTCTCCTTTCCGAGGATGATAAATTTGTACTTCTCTGTCAGGAACGAAACAAAAGTTACTGAATGTGCGTAGCTGCTGCTGATTCTACCTAGAAAATAAGCTACTCCTGAATGATGGAATGGAAACTGAGATCAACGTTCCTACCATCAATTTCATGAAAAGAAGGGCAACAGAATGGCCTCAACATGAAAGTGTAAAGGAAACCGACGTTCCAACCATGACAAACTTTCCCTTACTTTTTTCATCCCCAATTACATGAACAGAACTGCTTTAAAAATGAATATGTTTTTGATCATGATTACAGTTCGATCGTAGAAAATCAGAAAGGCTAGCGAGATTCTTTTACGCCCCTCCAATGCAACAGCTTACCTTTGGATCAATGCCGTCTTCCGTATGACCTAAGCTGTTCGTCAACAAAGCGTCGGAATCGAAACGAGAGGTCCCGGTTCAAAGTCTAGTTCTGAAGGTGATAAATCAGGAACCACCTGGGATATAGAGGAAATTACAACTAGAAGTAGTCACCAAGAATTAAATATAGCATTAGAAAAAAACAATAAAGTACCCTATGCTGATGGTAACGGAACGAAGGTTAAGCGATGTACTACATGCAAGTTTTACTGTCATGACAACTAAATGTGACAGACATCGCAACAAACTATGCCTTTTCTTCATAGCCGAAATGGTTCAGATGTACTTCAAATTGTCTGTCTTTTCTATCGCAATACAACTGGTCGGCTGTTGATCATAGCTTGATTAGCAGTTTCTTATCACATTAAATACCGTTGACAATTTGCTATTTTAGTCAAACAATTTTCTCGACCGACTTCTTAATTTACTATTCACCTGCATACCATTCTGTATGGATGGAAAAGCATCCAGCATATCAAGAATAACCAACAGCAGTACAACCACGTCGTCCTTACCCTCGTAAGCGACAGCTTACTTTTATTGTTCTTTATATGAAACGAATGAAGAATGCAGGCTTAGAAAGCCATACAAACATCCGTATGTGTCAAGCATAAACCTGCCTCTATTATTATCGGTGGCTAACGCAATATACGATACGCGCAAATGTTGTTCATAAAAATGTGGTATTGACTTTTGAATTGTTTCTCTACAGCCCATTTATGAAGCACTGTTTACCATTTAAGTTTGGGTCGTGCCCGTAAAACTTTATCTTCTGTACATCGGAGGCCTGCTCCTGGAGGGTGACTTGCTGCTGGATTGCACTGAAGACTCCCGCTGAACCGTTACCACGACCTATGGCAAATGTTTGGACACCGCGACCTCCACCAGCCTGTTGTTGTTTTTGTTGTTGGACTACTGGCGCAGCTCGGTATGCCTGTGGCAACGACTCGAAACCAGAATTATGTTGTTGTTGTTGCTGCTGCTGCAGCAATTTCTGCGGTCGGTGCACCGACTGCTGTCGTATCGTCTGCCGAGGTTGGGTAAGTTGCACGGAACAGCCTATAAGGACAAGATATGGATAAAATTTGTAAAGGTCTTTCATTTCAGAATACATGCCACTCGCAGATATTTTCTCGCTATGCAGAAGGTTAATTAAATTCCCAAAAATTTTAACTTTTGAAACATGAATAAAATACTCAAACGATAATATAGGAATGTCTTTAATAGGTTACAATAGAGGCAAGACAATTTGAAATGTGCGACATTCATGACAATTAAAAGATTCAGTACTACTTAAACACTTAAAGAAATTTAGATAAAAATCTGGAGTTATCCAAAGCTACAAAAGATTAAAGATTACAAAAGGAAGTTTTAGGAAAAATCACCCTGATGATATAAAAAACTTTAAACACAATGAAGTAGACAGAACTAAATAAGTGAATTCACGACTTAGGAAATCCATGCTGAGAGCACAGCATACCGTTACCGAATACATAAAACTTGACTGTCTTAGCTCACCTGGTGATTGGTGAGTGAAACGCTGAGCCTGAGGCTGGTAGGTAACACGACCATAACTGGGTGGGGGTAAACCTTTGGCGCCACCATAACTCGATTGAGGAGGAGGTTGCTGCTGTGATTGTGCAGTGATATGAGTCGTCATACCATGAGTGACGTTCACATATCGAGCAGGCACTGTCTGTGAATTCGATCTTTGTTGGGCCATTGGCGACGGTGACATGGATGAGGCGAGGAACGCGTTTTGCTGATTATTCTGCGACGAATTGCCATGGTAATGAGGAGATTCGCTATTCTGTGACATGTTCGAGTTCATCTGCTGAAACTCGTAGTTCTGCATTTGAGGAGGCGGCTGCTGCTGCTGTTGTTGGGCACAAACCTGCGACTGCTGCATTTGTGAGTTCATGGCGAACACGGCAGTTCCCTTGTTCTGTTGTGATTGTTGAGCGCTGCCTACGGGTGAAGGGTAGCTGCCATTATTCTGTCCACTGGGCGAGTACCTCGAAGGCAGCATGACCATTCTTTGGCCTTGCGAAGGGGACTGCATAGGACGGGATGCGGTTGGAACGCTTGAAAGCATAATGTTTTGTCTCGGCTGGCTGTTGTTCCTGAAATTCTGTACATGGTGAGGAGCATGATGCGGCGGCTGAGCGGACGTCGCTTGCTGATAAGCCTTCGACTGAGGTAAATGCTGCTGCTGAGATGCATATTGTTGTTGCTGCTGCTGCATCATCGGTTGTTGATGGAACTGAACCGGAACCTGGTGACAGTAGACACCAGGCGACTGCTGCTGAGCAACGGCCGCGGATGAAAACATGTGCTGCTGCTGTTGGGGGGTCATCGGTTGGTTAGGACTGCCAAGCGGGCTTGGACAAGCACTTGGACTAGAAAGCGATCCGTCGTTCGACATACCTAAACAGCAAACGTCAGCATGAAAAAAGACGTGCGACTTGTGTGTCTTCACTCTGCGACGGTGTGCTTATCATTGTCACCCTCTGGTTTTGCACTTGACCGGTTTGAGGCATTCTGACCAGTGTGCCATAAGCAGGCGAATGCTGTGGCTGAGACTGCGACTGTACCATCTGCTGCTGAACTTGGATTTGCTGCTGCTGCACTTGAATCTGCTGCTGAGTACGTTGAGTGTACACCTGAGGACTGGAGGGAAACCAAAATCTCTGAATGTGCAATTATTTCATCAACATCGTCAGAAAGAAGATTCGTTCACATTTACACATCCTTGGTCACAACCTTTGATCAGGCGTATTAGCTTCTGGTTCCTATTATCTACTGCAAATCAAACAATAAGCTTAACAATGAAAACTTTAGAAAGGAATTATCTCACAAACTTCATTCAAAACAGACGAGAAAAGCGGCAATCATTTAGACTTTAGGATAAACTGTTATACTGGGAACCATGATTATCACCAAAAGCAACAGAACACTCTGCCCTAAGGAAAATGTCTGATACATGGATCGATTGTTTCATTTTGTCGATTAGATAAACTTCTAGTAGCATGCGGAATTAAAGGAATAAAGTGCATTTTAATTTGAACACCTCAAGATCATGCACTGCTGGACACAGCAGATGTAGTCAGAGGCCGAAAGTGTTGCAGTGTGTTCTACACTCTGCAGAGTACAAAATGTAACGAATGTTTGAACATATGTCGGTTGCTAGTATATAACTCCAGCAAGAAAGCATAATAACTTTATATGTCTGTGCTGCTTACCACTTTAAAATTAATTGGTATAGAGTAGAGGAACTTACTTGCTGTGACTGCATTTGGGGTGAGTACTGGGGTACTACCTTCTGCTGAAAATGCTGCGGAGCCATGCTTTGAGAGTCCATCACTACGTAGCTTTCCATGCCAGAGTTTCGCACAGTATTCATCGTTCTCGGATGTTGCTGTGAAACACTGGCCTGAGACTGTTGCTGCATCGGTAACATCATCGACTGCTGCATCTGGTGTGTGGCCACCTGCTGTTTCTCAACAAGCTCCCGAAACCTGCTTGGGTCTAAAGGAACCAGCGGGCTGCTTGGCTCCTGGATGGTGTTCGCTTTCGCTTGCGCAAAGTTGCCCGAAAACTGATTCATGGTATAGTGATTTTGTTGGTTTCGTTCCACAAGCTAAAAAAATAAGATGCGAATGCAAACACCCTCTTGCAATTTATCAGGTACAAACAGCATGAAATATCTACTGTCCATACTAACAGACTGTCAGTCATATATGCTTACTGTGCAGTCGTTACGCTCGCACATATATCAAATTTGGCTGTCCAACTTTTTAAAACCTTGCTTATTACTGATCGAAGCCATGAGAAAAGGAATGTCTAATAAATTTAAAAAAAACAAATCATACACTGTGAACATGCAGCAAAGAAACAATTATTCAAACAGAGATAAATTAAGAAAATAAATAATCCGGTGCTCTTCAAGAAACGTAGTACGCTCGTCAAACGATGAACCTCATCAACTGTAGTATTCGAACGTACTTCGTGTAAAAACTGAAAACGGTATAACCATTGATTCTTAGTTGCACTGTACTTTGCCTCATTCAAATAAATTCAAAAGCCATGAAGGATATCTCTACCGTAACGTCATCATTTTTAGTAATGATCTGGTGTAAGAAACCTGTTGTGCCTCGAGCTTCAGTGTCGCTGCCAGGTTTTGTATTGCCTGCGCAGCACCGCTGTCTTTCTCTTCACTGAGGGGCTCCAGCAGATCTTTTGGATGATAGTTCGCTTCATCTACCAATTCATTCCTTTTCGCGCAATCGAACACCCATTCAGGAAGCACGATCTTAATCCTTTCATGTACTGCCGCGAATCGGTACTTTTCCTACAAAATTATTAAGCATTATCTGCTGCAAAAGTTAACTTTAAGTACTGAAACTTCATAAATACCATTTCATACAAGAAACCTTAACTTTGAGTCTACTAATGCGAAACAGGTATACTACTTGAAAGTTGACTTTGTCAAAAACAGTCATTACAGCATCAGACATATAATGTGCAGGCTACTTTCTGAAAAAGCCCGAACCTGTTGAACTGGAAGGAGCGTCTTTGCATTTTATATATGATGATCCATATTACAACGCGGAAAAGGATAAAGGGTAAACAAGGTCCCTAATAATGAAACCCATCATTTCAAATGATCTACTAAAACTAGAAACCATCAATGATATTTTTCACATTTCTTAGCACACAATCAAACATCAGACTAGATTCCAAAAAACAGTAAAGGAATATTTGCTGGCGCAACATGGATAAGAATCAGGGACAGAATGTCGTGGCAAAATCTAAAGTAGGCCTTCATCCGCCAGTGGGAAAGGCTGATGATTATGTGAAATTTACATGCTGAACAAAACAGATATCAAGAACAAGATTTTCACCACGATACTCATAAAAAGAAAATTAGGAGCTAAAAATGCACGTACTCCCGAAGTTGTAGGACAGATCAGATGAGTTGTGCGTTCGGTAATCACTCTCTCGCACTCACCTCCGGAAGTAGTTATTAAAGCCCAAAGAACGTCAGCCGTATTCACATCGACCTAACGAAAAGAAAAATTATGAAATAAAAATACGCTGAGCGCAAATTTAAACTGAACCATTACCTGAGATGGACAAAAGCACATATTCAGAAATATGCGCTTCTGTTCCGGGGTAAAGAACTGTCCCGAGGCTCCATACGGAAGAAGAGACTGGCATTTTGCCGATGAAAATACCCATGAAGACTAAACAGAACAATAACTTTGCAAAGTATTTTTGGTACAACTCTTGTAGCATGCGCCATTAAGGCTTCTAACTAAACCTTAATGAAACCTTAACACAAAAATTTTTTTAAAGATTGTCTGAATTCTTTGTGGATGAAAAGTTCTTCCGCTGTATATTTTGCAACATGATATAGACATAAGAATGACTGCACAGAGCCAACGACAACGATGTCATCAATATGAAAAAAAGGCAAAGGATTTGGTGAGCAGGACTAACACTGAATTAGTTTTAAATGTAAGCAACAATTCGTTTATCGCGTTAACACCTTCAGATCCTTCCACAGTATACAATGACACTGATGTTTTGGCTCTTATTGTTACATAGTATCCATTGAACTTGAATCCAGCTCGATCCGTCAGGATTTTGCTTAAAAAAATTTGTATTGCATATATACAATACATAAAGTATCAAACGAATATAATATATTACAGCAATACAAGTTAATGCACAACGATTTGGTTATGATTTCACATTTTGGCTGGCGGTCACTGACTGCAACTGATTTCAATTTTTGCGTTGAAAACAACTCCTGAGATATGGTCCAAAATGTAATTAAGGCATTATTGTGATGAAAAACCTTTGACAGTATCTAATATACTACAAAATGGCGTCTTGCATTATCTGCATTACTACCATCCTGAGACAAACTATACAACAAGGAAGCTTTATTTGAATGCTGCTTCGCTAGCCGAAACTAAAACAATGAAGACGGGTTACTAATCTTTAAGGAAGACCAGCGATGCCAGGATACCAGATTTTACTAGAATTTCTAGTCTCTCCAGAAGGACGATATCGACTACTAATCAGAAAGGACCGGCAAGTGTGCAGAGCTAAACGAACAAATCATGACAACAGTGCATGGAGAAGACGAAGTGATGTTCTTACTGGAGCTGATAAAAAGTCAAGAAAAAATCGCAATGCAGGATACAAATGAAGTTTGAGGTTTCTGATTCTAGGCCCGTATTTATAAAAAGATGTTTGAACGACTCATGCTTCAGGGTACCAAACGCAGCAGATGATGAAAACTGAATTGCCTACGCATTTCGCTAAATGCACCGTAGCATCATCAGGGCTGAACAAAAATGGCTATTTGAAGGAACTTAACACCTAATACGAGAATACTGCTACTGTTATTGTTAATATTGCTATTGAAAAGAAACACATTTAAAAAATAAAGCGACTGTTAACCACTTGACCAATATAAAGCCAGAAGGGTAACTAACAGTGTTGCACAGAAGAACTTTTAAAACGAACTAACGAAATTCTGGAAACATGAAGTCAGCGAGAAACCGGAAAACTATACGTGCAAGGAGAAGGAAACAATCGAATAATTCAACACTTGTAAGCTAACGAGCAAATTCACTCGATAAAATTGGTTGATACTCCTCGAGTTACATTTTTCGAGGTACATATATTCTCTTGGATGGACCTCGCGCATTGCCGAATCGTACCCGAGGGAAAGAAAACGACCACTCGGGCGACTTTCGATGAGGTGGCAGATGTACGTAGAAGAAATAGCGGGAAGGAACTGGATAAAAACTGCCAAAGACAAAATGGCCTGGCAGAACTGTGCTCAGCATATGGGAACATCGAACAACCCTGCAATATATTTTCTCACTGGCGATGCAACTTGGCATAAACGAAGAAAATCAAACATAGTGAAACTAAGTTAATCACAACATGGTTTCAAAGTCTCTAACAGCCATACCATATGTATAGTGGAGAGCTTTGCCAGTTTCTCCAAAAAAGGACTAAAGGTAGAGTTGCAAGCATTTACCATCATAACCCTTTATGCTCGATAAAGTAAAAAACAACATTTCATAGTTACCGTATTTCAATGCATGAATATCATTTTCTAAAACAGGCAGTTGAGGAAGTAACAACAGAATTAGATCACGGTATAAGCGCGTATCGTCCTCACAAGCTTGTTATTCATGCCTTTATCCTTTTTGGATGTGTGGCATTCCTAATACAAACAAAATTTGTGTTCAAGCTGCTGAGAATGGGTAAACATCAACGTTATGGATTTCATGCCGTAGCGAATATGCCAAAAATTTGCCGTTAACAATGAACAGTCGCAATGAAACGATCGACTGGCGACATAATGGCGATAAGCGTTGACAGGCTTGTTTGTATGCCTTGGTGCAAGCTGTTTAGAATAAGGCCATTTGACTACAAATCACGACAGAAGAACTGAAATCAACAGTTATCATTAAGTCCCTAAATAAGGCATGGTTACATTTTCGCCGCAGGGTGTCTATCATCTGAACAAAGAACAGACAATTCATGCGATAGACAAAGGATGATCCGGATGACTATCAATGCCTACCATGTCATTATTCTTCTTAGCAGACGGTGATATTTGACACAAAACAGCTTAAACGTTTTCAGACAACAGCTGTTATAGAGGCCTAAAAATGCGGTAGGATGAAGGAGTGGAGACGGCGACCGAGAAGTGGAGAAGATCTAGGGAAAATTGCTCGAATATATTAGGCAACTGTTTTTCAAGCAGTTTCCTAAGAATCCAGTCTGCGGAACTTTCCCCATATTGGCAAAAGACTAACACCACGGAACAAACCTCCTGAAGATAGTGTCTCCGGACCCGAAAGAAATAACGGGCTGTGAAAACGGATAGACATTATCTACCTTATGGACGCCAGATGTTGTGAACCTAGAACCTAAACAATTCTTCTTGCTTGGCCCTCCTAACAGATTGTAATACGGCCTAACTCGTCTACTAGTCAGTTCGAACCAGACACCTTAAACAGAAAGAAAGCGGTAGGGCTGAAAAAACAGGACGGCGGAAAAGTTTCCCCATTGTATATATATTGATGGAAGGAGAAAAAGCAATTGCTGTGAAATGCTAAACAATTAAAACACTATGACAGATCATTTCGTACAAACATTAAAATCACTGCCTCAGAGTCACTTTTGTCTTTTACTGTCTGAGGGTCATCTAAAAGTAAATTCAAGTCTGTGCTATAAAGAGCTCGTATTCATCAAAGTATAACATTGGCAATTAAAGCAAAATGCGACGATGTGCATTTTACTTTCTGTGGTAGTAAAGCTCTTCCAGTCGCAAACCATGGTTCAAAGCCAAATCTGGTAAAGCATTTGAGGGCGGTGCAACGTTAGAGAATCTATCTACTCCTAACTACGGCATCAAACTACTCACAGAACCGCTCATCCATTTAGAGACTTTGAGTAAGCTTTTCCTTCACCTCATCTTCCATCGCCGCTTCTCCTTACGGGTCGCAGAGGTAGACGCGTCAAACAGAGCTTCCAACGATCCCAATCCTGTGCCAGAGTCTGAGCTTCGACAAAACACAAATGGAGTCTGGAACAGACTTCTTCCATATGTTTGCACCAGGTTAATCTTGGCTGTCCCCTCGGGCTTTTGCCGGTCGGATTCGCAAGAAACAGTTGATTAGCCTTTCTGGAGGCATTCGCAACACATGCCCAAATTATCGCAGCTGTGACTTCTCAATCTGGAGAAGCAAAGGCTGTTTTCCAAGGCTCTTCCGAATGTCACTATTCCGGACCATGTCGAGACGCGTAAGGCCAGCGACTCGTCTAAGAAAGCCCATTTCAGCAGTTGTACCGGGAGTTCGAAGTTTTTTAGGAATGGTCCACGACTCATGACCGTAGTTAAGCATGGGGATAAAGATCGACTTCAACACCGATCGTTTTCAGACTCAGCTCTGCTTTAGCATAATGCACCCGGCTAGTTCAAGCAGAACGCCACTGGCTACTCCAATTCAGCGGTCGACCTACTCCCCACATTTTCCATCACTAGTAAATAAGAATCTGAGGTACTTGAACTTCTCCAACTGCTCCACTGTCTCTCTGTTAATCTGAACAGAGCAACTGGCAGGAGAACAAGAAGGCACTGAATTTTTGGTTTTAGATGCGTTCACACGCATGCCGGTCACGTCGCACTCGGCTGCGAACCTTTCTAAGGAGCACTGGAAGAAGATGCGAATATCAGAAGGTCGTCTGCAAATAGTAACCTTCTCGTTTTCACATCTCCTACAGCGATACACTCATCGCCTTGGCTGTTCCTGAGTATTCTAACAATGTACAACACAAACAGAAAATGGGACAGGACACAGCCTTGGCGAAGGCCACTGCGAGCGTTGAATGGTTTTGACTTAACGCCATTTACTCTGACGCAGCACCTGCTATCAGAATACAGTTATTGGATGATCCTCATCAGCTGGTCATTTATCCAGTATGCTCGAAAGCATGATCACTGACTGCTGCGTGGGATCCGGTCGTAGGCGTTTTCTGGGTCAACAAAACATGCACACCGGAGGGCGTACTCCTGTGATTTCTCAACAATCTGGCTCAAGGCAAATATATGGTCAGAGGTGCTTCGACCAGACCGGAAGCCACACTGCTCTTCTATCTGGGAGTCAGTTATTCGCGGCTCTTTTCTAGCACCTTTGTGGAGACCTTGCCTGGGAGGCTCCATAATGTAGTGCCCTTATATTTCGAGCATTCCTTGTGGTTCGCCTTCTTGAATACGGGTACAATAACTCCCGTTCTTCAATCCGCTTGAGTCTTTCCTTCAGTCATGGCAGTTTGACAGACACGTGTTAGCCAGCACTTGCCCCCTTCGCCTAATGCCTTGAGCATCTCAGAATGGATTTCGTCAATTCCAGCAGCTTTTCCATTTTTCAAGCTTTTCACAGCTTGCATAATTTTATCTACAGAGACAGTAATATCCATTCCCTGCTGCTCTACAGGCGAGT